GGGAAGGAGAGAAAAGTTGTGAGCCATGTACTGAACTCATTAATGAAGGAAGGAGAATGATCTGGGAGGTCTGTAGACCTCCAGAATTTTGATTGAGTGGTTGATGTGAATAACATGAACCTGAAAAGGAAGAGAGTTACTGAATGATGGTAGAAGGGAGAGAACCTGGAAGTGGCAGTGGGGAGCAAAGAGTATTCCAACTTTTCTGCCTTGATCAATGAGCTGAGAATAAGTGAAGGTACAGCCAGTACTGGAAGGCTGTGTCATTTGGGGGTAGCCAGGTTTCAGTAATAGCTAGTAAATAGGTAGAAGGAATGAAAGAGGAAAAGATTAAGGATGAAGGGAAGTTTCTTGCCTATGGAACAGGCAAGAGGGCACAGTAGAAGGGCTGGGTGGTGTTTAGTTGAAACTTTGAAGTGAGAGAGTTGAGGGGTATGAAGATAAGGAATCGGGCAATGGAGTTGGGGAATAGGATTTGGAAGATGACCTATAAGGGGTTCAGAATTCCTTCTATGTGAAGTGCATGGCCAGCTGTGAGAATGTTCATCACTGAATGGAAAGTGCCATTCTTCCAGAGAAGGTTGGAGATTGGGCTACAGGCAAGTGCAGCATGAGATGGGAGGGACACAGTCAGATTGGGAGGCCCTACTTCACTACTCCTCTAACCCTTGAAGGTTGGAGATTAGTCAGAGAAAGGGCACAACAGGAATGGAGGTCAAACCCCATAGCTGGAGAAAGAAGTCCTGTCCCCCTTTCTTCTTCCTCTTCCCTCAAAGGACATAAGTAGGAGATGAGAAGCCAAGTCAAAGAGAGAGTTGATCCTCTGCATCAGAGGTCCTCACATTCCAGTTGGGAGATTGGGCTGATAGCAGGGGGTGGAAATTGCCTTGTGGCAGGGAGAAGTCCTTTGGAGCAGATGGAAGACACCAAGCCTGATCCCTTGCTGCCTTTCCTCGGGGAACACAGTGTGCCCAGTAGAAGACTGAAGGCAGGTGGTCTTGGGAACTCTTGGCCTCTTCTCACCTGAGGATGTGAACAGGATGGGGAAGCAGGAAACAACAGATTCCCTGCCCCGGAGGCAGTCCTGGTAGGGAAGACAGTGTGTGTGTGTGTGTGTGTGTGTGTGCGCGCGCGCGCGCGCGCGCGCGTATGTTGGGGGGGAGGGGGGAGTACTGTTAAAATTTGAATGTTACAGTAGAGTGTTAGCTCCTTGAGGGCAGAGACCATTTCACTTTTGTCTTTGTGTCACAGGGTCTGGCCCTTAATAAATGCATATTGGGTTGGATTAGATCAAAATGTCTCTTGAGCCTGGATACTGTCAAAGCTAGAGGGACAGCCATGCGGTATAGCTGACCTGGCTGGTTAATGGCAGGGGAATCCTTCAAACGTGCCTCACTCCTCTAGAACCATCCAGTCTCTAGGACTTTAGAGAAGCTTTGACTATCTTGCAGGATGTGGTCCTGGACATCTTCCCTACTGCTGTACTTGTCATTCCCTCCCTCTCCTCTTCCCACCTCTTGTCCATAATCAACATTTCCATTGCCCTTAGAAAGGGTACCAAGATCTACTGCCCTATTGCTCCACTCTAGGTTGCTTAGGCTGAATGAAGTTTTCTTCCCCAACCACCAATGTCTCTGATTCTTCATGCCAATGCATGTCTCTTCCATCCCTCTTGGGTTCCTATTCTCTACCCTATATAACCTTCCATTTTATCCTCTGGAACTATGTTCCAGTGCTAACAAACTGCCCTTAATATGAGACATATCCCCTTGGTATATTGCATATTTAAGTTTCCATATATATGTTGTTTTTCTGTAATAGAATGTAAGCTGCTTGAGAGCAGGGACTGTTTCATTTCATCTTTGCCTCTCTAGCACCTAGAATAGGGCCTGGCACATAATAGGTATTTAACAAAAGTTTGTTGATTGGTTGAGGATAACTCTTCCTAAATGTCACTTATGCTTGGTGTATTGTTTAATTGAATTGTCCAGTCTTCTAATTCTACAGAAAAGGAAACTGATGCCCATAAAGGTTAAGTGACTTGTCCAAGGTAAAAACAAAAACAAAAACAAATCTGACAGTACAAGAATCAGAACCTCTAGTCTCCTGAGCTCCAACTCAATGACTTACTCTACCAGAGTAAAGACCAGAGTTCCAGTGACATATGTGTGACCTTCGGAAATATATTTGTGTGACATCGGACAAGTCCCTTTCCCTCTCTGACTCAGTTTCCTCATCTGTTAAACAAAAATAATCACACTTGTGCCACTTACCTTGCATGCAAATAAAGATAAAATCCATAAATTGCTTCAGAAACTAGCTAAGACAGTGGCAATGGGGAACAGGGTGGTTTGCATAGTGTTAGACACTCTGGAAATGCAAGCTCTTATTAGCAAGGGCCCCAAGCTGCCTTATGATCTTCCAGGCAGTGAGTGGGCTTGTGGGAAGAGCACCGGATTGGAAATCAGAAGGCCTAGGTTCAAATCCTTGCTCCCCTACTTCTTACCAGCTTGGAATAATCCACTTTCCTTCTTTGTGTCTGTTTCCTCATCTGTAGAACAAAGGCGTTGGGTTAGCCTATCTCTCAATGGTCCTTTCCAACTTCACCCTGCCAGGGAGGAGCAGGGCTAGAGAGATCAGTGATGAAACACCCTGGGTCTTGCTGGCTCAGATGGGAGGAGAGTGATTTTGACGTCTGCCCTCCAGGCTCCAAATGCATTGGCACCGACTCCACTGATCTCAGCTGCCTAAGACACACAGAGCCTTTGCTTATTTTTTCTTTCTCTTCAATGAGAGTGCAGAGGTTTGGACTCCTGTGGGAGACCAGGCTGATGGGATTAGAGGAAACAGCTGGCTCAAGCCTGTGCCCTGTGGGAGCTCACATTCCAGGCACTCAGGAAGAGAGCAGCTCCCTGCTGCCCAGTCGGATTGCAGGCCGTTTGCCTTAGGCCAAATGTTTTCAAAGGAGCCTGAGAAGTGGGCCTCATGACCCTGCCACCCTGGTCTGAGGTCTCATAGTGCCCCCACTCCCCCATACTCTCCTCCCCCTATGTCCTGGCCCAGCCCACATCTGCACCAGGTGGCTCTGTCCTCAGGGCCCCCATGGCCCATACCAGCCAGGCTTGTTTGGGCAGACCGAGTTCTGCTGCCAACCAGGTGTGTCTCTTGAAGCCTGGAGCCCCATGGGGCCTTTTCCATTGGGGACCCACCTGACATCCCTCATATGCAGGGACACCAAGCCAGAATTGTGATAGACAATTGCAAGAGAGAGGCTTGGTTGCGTAGTGGGAAGAATGCAGGTTTGGAAGGCCCCTGGATGTTGGGAGACCTGAGTTCTAGTCAGTTTTCCAATTAAATTGCTGGATGACCTTGGGCAAATCATTTCCCTTTCTAAAGAGCTTTAAGAAAGAAGAGGGGGTTAAAAGAGGCTTAGAGTAGGTGGTCCTTTTAGCTCCCTTCTACCAATATTTAATGATCTAAAGTCACTTCAAATGATTGGGATCCTTTGAAATTCTCCTCTTAACAACATTCAAAAGACCAGCTGCCCTGGGCAGTGGGGTAGTCTGGGCTTTTGTCCACGACAGTATGTTTACAGCAAAAATGAAAAGGACAAATGTTATCTATGTTCTTCCCCTTATTCTAGAGTGGCACAGTGGACAGAATGCTGGGCCTAGAGTTAGGAAGACTCATCCTCTTGACTTCAAATCTTCCTTCAGACAATTACTAGCTGCGTGACCCTGAGCAAGTCACTTAACCGTTTGCCTCAGTTTTCTCTTCTGTAAAAGGATGGAGTTGAACAAGATAATTTCTAAGGCACCTCCAGCTCTGATTTTCAGTGATTCTGAACTTCTAGAGGGAAATGAGGGAACGTACCGATGGAAAGTGTTTTAAATTGTTCCTTCCATATCATCTCCTTGTTCCTGTCTTGTTACAATCAGATCATTTTTTGAGGCAAACCCATTTTCGGATGGGCTATTTACATGTGGGGGAGAATCCAGAGCAGCCTCTTCTCTCAACCCAGTGCCCAGCCTCCAGCCTTAGCTCACAAGTGCAGCCCTCCAGGCCTGGCTCCCCACTCTACCCCCAGCCCTCTTGGGTACTACCAGTTCCAGGGCCCTCGAACTCCCTTAGGGAAACTACTGCTGCTACCCCAATGGGAGTCAGTTCTGCTTTCCCTTTCTCCTCTTTTTCCTTCCACTTTCCCTTTCCCCTCCACTTTTCCCATTCCTCTTTCCTCCTTTCTCCCTTTTCTGTCCTTTCCCTTCCTCTTCTCCATTATTCTCTTCCTTCCCTTTTCTCTCCTCCTCCTTCTCTCTGTTCCCCCTTTCCTCCCCCTCCTCTCTTCTCCCCTTCTTCCTCTGCTCTCCCCCTCCTTTTTCTCTCCCTCCCCCCTTACTCTGCTTTCCTCCCTCCTTTCCCCCTCCTCCCTCTCCCCTTTCCCCCTCCTTTTCTCCTTCTCCTCCCTCTCCTCTCCTCCCTCCTCCCCCTCCTCTCCTCCCTCCTCCCCCTCCTCTCCTCCTCTCTCCTCTCCCCCCCATTCCCCCTCCTCTCCTTCTCTCTCCTTCCTCCCCCCCCCCCATTCCCCCTCTTCTCTTCTCTCTTCTCTTCCCCCTCCTGGCTCTCTCCATTCCCCCATTCCGGGAGCGAGAGCCAGAGCCGGAGCCGTGTTTGGAGCAAGCCTTCCCGCCGCTGCCCTGCTGCAGCCGCCCGGGCCCCGGAGCTCCCTGGCCCCGCGGAGGTGGACTGGCTGTCCGTGGGCCAGCAGACAGCGCTCGGGGCGGGCCGGCTGGCCGGGTTCGGGGCGGTGCTGGGTGCTGGGCTTGGGGTGGGGTGGGGGGGCGGGAGTGGCGGGGCTCGGCTCGCCCGGGCTCTGCGCGCCGGCCTGGCCTCTCCCCGCCCCCGCCCTCTCTCCCTATTTGGAGAGGAGACACCCCTGACTTGGGGCTGTCCCCGCCGCGCCCCCGCTCCCGGGCCGCCCGCGGGTTGCTGCGGCGTCAGACGGGATCCCGCAGGCGGGCAGGCGAGCGTCCGTCAGTCCGTCCCCGCCGCGCCCCAGGGCGAAGCTGGCGTGAGCCATATGGGAGCAGCCTTCTGTCCGGTGCACGGTGAGTCCTGGCCCCGCGCGCCCCGTCCGCCCTCCGTAGGGACAGGGTCCCTGGTGCCCTGGACAAGACACCCCCCTCTCCGCTCCAGGGCAGCCCTCCGTCCCAGAGGGGCGGAGAGGAAAGGAGGACCAAGCCTAGCTGAGAACCGAGATGGGAGCGGACGAGACGGAGTGGGAGGCTCGGGCTCCGGCCGGCTCGGGCTCCATCACGGAGCCTCAGTGTTCTTCCCGACCCATCAGGGTAGTGGCCTGGCTGGAGCCGGAGGAGGGCGAGGCAGGGCCAGGCAGAGAAGGGGCGCGGGGGAGGGAAGAAAGAGGGTAGGGCAAGGCAGGGGCAGGGGCAGCCCGGGTCCGAGCGTTTTGCGAACTCGAGGCCCCATTTCCATCTCTTTGATTTCGGGATAAAGATGGACAAAAACAATCAACCTGTGAGTGGTAGAGACTTGTTCTGAAAGAACTGGGCAGTTGAGGGGGGGCTGGCGGCATAAGCAGCCTCTCACCCCCCCCCCCCACTCCACCCCAAACAGGGGTTCTGCTTCCCACTTCAGCCTCCCTGAGTCTCACGGCTCGTCTCTTGCCCATTTATCTCCCTGACTTTTTCTCTTTTCTCTCGATGTCCCAAGTCTTTCTTTCTGCCTTTCTCTCCGTTCTCTCTCGACTCTTCTCTCTGCCCTTGTCTTTCTCTTTTCCCTATCTCTGTGTCTTCTTTTTCTTAGTTTCCTGTTTCTTTCCCCTTCTATTTTTCTGTTTCTTTCCTTCCTCGCTTTTTTCTTGCTCTCCTTTCCTTTCCTTTTCTTTCTCCCTTTCTCCTTTCTTTCTCTCTCTCTCTCCGTTTCCCTTTTTCTCTCCATCTCTTTTTCTCGTTCGTCTTCCCTTGTCTTCTCTTCTCCCTCTCTGGCTTACTTTCCTCCTCTCCTTTCCTCCCTCCCTTTTCTTCTCTCCTTGTTCCTCTTTTTTTTTCTCGTAATCTCCTTTTCTCTCTTCACGCCTCCTATTCTCTATCCCTGCCTCTCTTTCCCTTTCCCGTCTCCCTTTCCCGTCTCCCTTTCCCTTTCTGTGTCTCTCTCTCTGTCCTCTTGCCCTCTTCTCTATTCCCTCCTTTCTCTCTTTTTCCCTGTTTCAGTCTCTGTCACTGTATCTGTCTCTTTTCTTCCTCTGTTTTCACATACTCGGCTATAGTGAAAGTCTGGTTTGGGTCGGGGAGGGCATAGAGATCTCCAGAGAGGTATATAAAGAGAACTTTGAATTAGGAAGAGGAAGTGACCCCTCCCCCATTTATAACTTCTCCCTCCTCCACCTTCCGATAGTCCCAGTTCTGGAGAGTACTGTGTTTCTCTTGGATTCTTTGGGGAGGAGGAGGGGTGCTTTCAAGATTCTAGGGAATTCTCTCCCCCCCCCCCCCATTCCGGTGCTCTGAAGGCCCCTAGCTGAGCTCAGGGTCCCTTGCTTTGGGTCACCTGCACGGATTCCCTACTGTGCTAATATTGATCTTTCACGGAAGCCATGGAGGCAGCTGTGTGTGTGTTTACAGCTGGGGCACATTGGCAGGGGTCAGGAGAGAGGGGCACATTGTTTAGGGTTTCCAAGGCGCTGCTGAAAGCCCTGGGTTTGGAATTGAAGGAACCTTTAGAAAAACAGAAATTAGGACTGGAGTGGAAGCTCCAAGTTTGCTTCCCACCCAAAACCTGGGAGAGGGCCCCTTCACCCTTTGTTAATTGTCCAATAACCAGATTCTTGTTCCCGTCTCCTTCTTTCTGTGGTACTGCCATACAGAATGGGGGCAGAATCTGCCCCAGTGGCCGAGGAAAAATGACTGACTGGGACTGGTGACCCTCTGCCACCCTTACTGTTCCTCCTTTGGGGATCTTGAAGGGCCAAAGGAAAACCCTCCCTCAAGGTGATTTCACAGTGTATATGACTGTCTGGACCAGTAAAATGGTAGTAGTGGGTATATGTGTGTGTGTGTGTGTGTGTGTGTGTGTGTGTGTGTGTGTGTGTGGTGGCCTCAGTCCTAAGTGAAACTTCAGACTATTAGGTTTAACTTTTAGCTTTTTCTACCCCAAGGTTTGGGGCTATTGTTGCTGCTGCTGGAGCTAGAGAGCACATGACAGAGATGCTGGTGGGGTCTTCAGTGAGACTTCTGTTGAACAGATGTGAGGGCCAGGGCGGGTCCCTGAATTAGCACAGAGGCTTGTTATTAGGAATTTTCTTTGGAGACTGTTTTCTCGATGTGTGTTGGGAAGGAGGGGGTCCCTGCAGGAGCCCTCCAACTCTGAGGGCTGTCTGGAGGTAGAAGGGTAGAAAGGCATTGGCTTGAAGGGTGTGGTCCCCTTTGCCTACAGTTAAAAAGTATTGGGTAAGGGGTGTGTGTGTATGTGTGTTGGGGGGTGTAGATGTAGGGCACCACCCTGAGAACTGACATTTTTATAGAATGTTGGGACTGGGAGGGACCTCAGAGTAGAGAATGTCAGAGCTGGGAGGGACGTTAGAAAAAACTGTGTCAGAGCTGGGAAGGCCTTTAGAACAGAGAATGTCAGAGCTGGGAAGGCCTTTAGAACCCAGAATGGCAGGATTGGGAGGGCCCTTAGAACTCAGGATGTCAGAGCTGGGAGGGCCCTTAGAACACAAAATATCAGAGCTGGGAGGGCCCTCAGTGAGGATATTGATTGTAATCCATATAAAGCCAAGGCTTAGTGAGGTTGGCCAGGGTCACATTTGGAAGTTTTGGAGTTAAGCCACAAGTACAATCCAGGTCTTCCCACTGTGTGTGTTTCCAGCTGGGTCAGGAGAGAGGGGCACATTGTTTGGGGTTTCCAAGGCGCTCTTGGAGCTGTAAGCCCTGGCTGTGGAATTGAAGGAACCTTTAGACAAACCAGATCAGGACAGGTGCCTTCTCACTGTTGCTATGTTGCCCTTACAGCATCGCTGTAATGGCCTTAAGCTGGGGCCTAGGGGAGAACAATGTCTCAGAAGCACCCTTTCTTTCTGGCCTTTCTGGACAGGAGGCTCCCCTCCCCAAACCTTGATTTTAATTCGTTCTCCTTTTTAATGTAGGGCAATGCTTTGGCCTCCCTGAGGGAGCTCCCCACAGCCCTTAGATGACCAATGGTGAATCTTAGCCCCTCAAGCAGAAAACATTTTAAGCTGTTTTCCTTTTGGCCTTTGGGTACTCTGAAAGAAACCACAGAATTTAGGTCTGGAAGGGAAGTTAGAGTTCCTCCAATTCAGTGCTCTCATTTTACAGGTGAGGAAACTGAGGCTAAGAGACTTGGATTCTCTTGCCCAAGGTCACATAGGCAGTAAGGAGCAGATCCAGGTTTTGATACTAGGTTTGCAGATTCCAGATTTGGTGCTCTTTCCTCACTATGCCCTGCTGACTCCACAAACATTTTAAAATGGCAGGACCACACAATGCCTGTCACCTAAGTGCAGCACAAAGACCCGATGCCCCCCATCTCCCAACCCAGTGCTAATTTTAAGGCTTTCCCGGAAGTTGGAATTCCTTAGAGGGTTAGAAGAATCTAGAGAGCCATCCTCTCATTCATTTCCCATCTCCTCTTAGCCTAGTCTGGCCCTGAGAAATTTCCCCAAAGTTCAAGGCAATTCACTATAGGGAAAAGTGCTGAGATGAGAGACTGAGCTTTTGACTGTGTTCGAGTCTCAGCTCAGTGTCTTAACAAATTGTACAACCCTGGGGAAGCCTCTTCCCCTGGCTTCCTCCAGTTTAAAATGAGTGGACTGGATTACATCAATTCAATAACAGAAGTTTGTTAGATTAGAATACGTAGAGCTGGAGGAGGGTTTTGAGCTCCACCAGCCCAGACCTCTTATTTTATTTTTTTTGGGAGGCAATCAGGCTTAAGTGACTTGCCCAGTGTCTGAGGTCGGATTTGAACTCAGGTCCTTCTGACTCTGGGGAGGGGTGTGCTCTATCCACCTAGCTACCCCCTCCCTTAGTTTACTCAAGAAGAACCAGGCTCACAGAGAACAATCACAGGATCAAAGGCTTAGAGATGGGAGGAAGTGAGAGACCCTTGAGCTTCTCTGGGTTTCTCCTTCCATCCCAGCTGTTCCCTTTTGCTTCCTTATCCCCTCTCCCTGCCAGCAGTCTCTGGGACCTCCCTTGGCTCCGGTCCTCCACTGAGCTCCAGGTTCTTGAGAGAGTTCGCTGAATGGGAGAGAAGAAAGAGGACAGGGAGTGGGGAGAAGGTAGAGGAAGGGGAGAAGAGGCTGTGAGAAGGGCCCTGAGGGCACTCCCCAAGATCAAGGTCAGATCCTGGCTGGGGCTTGGTTCTATTCCTGTGTCTGTAGGCTGGGAGGGGGAGGAAGCGCAGGACAGCCTCCCTGGAGAGAGGGAGAGGGCAGGGAGAGCAGGGAAGAGTGTGAACTTGGAGGTACTTTATTTTGAGATTCATGTTCCTAGGATCCTAGCTCCGAGAGCTGGAAGGGACCTCAGGAAGCCAGCTGCTCCAATCCCCTCATTGAACAAATGAGGAAATTGAGTCCCATTCTTCTGAGCTCAAAACAAAACAAAACAAAACCCAACAGAACAAACTCTCCCCCCCCCCTTTTTTTCCTTTTCCAAAATTGATATTGTTTCTCCCGATAGAATGTAAGCTTCCTGAAGCCAGGGACTTTTCCTTTTTCTTCTTTGGGTCCCCAGTACCTAGCATATCGTTGTTGTTCAGTTGTGTCTAACTCTTGGTGACTCAGTATGGGGTTTTCTTGGCAAATTTCCTTCTCCAGTGGATTAGGCAAACAGAGGTTAAGTGACTTGCCCAGGGTCACACAGAGTGTCTGAGTCCAGATTTGAACTCAGGTCATCCTGACTCCCATTCCAGTGCCCTATCCATTGAACATCTAGCTGCCCCTCCTAGTACATCGCAGTCATTTAATAAATGATTGTTGATTGATTATCTGAAAATAATAACTCATTTTTATGTAGTACTTTAAGGTTGATAGAAGGACCTCTTTGTAATAGCTCCATGAGGCAGATAGTCT